GCCTGGTGCATGTGTGGGGGCTGGCTGGTTTGCCCTGAAGGGTCTTTAGATCAGGGTGGGGGTCCCGCTTGGGTGCCTGACCAGCCTGGATGACGGGCTGATGGCTGTTTGCAGCTGATCACACCTCCTTCAGGGTGGGGGTCCCCACTGGGGTGCCTGGCCAGTCTGGGTGAGGAGCTGAAGGCCGTTTTCAGGCTGGCGAGCAACTGAAGCTCCCAGCCTCTTTTTTTTTTCTTTTTTTTTTTTATTCTGGGATTTATTTACCTTCTATAGCTGTCACTGGAGCTGAGAGCCGGCTCCAGCTCTGAGGCTGTGGCTGGCTGAAAGCAGGTATCTGGGTTTGTTTAGCTTCTATAATTGAAACTCTGTTGCCATCACTGGCGCTCTAAGCTCTGAGCCCGTTGGCGGCTGAAAGCAGGTTTCTGGGTTTGTTTAGCTTCTATAATTGCAACATTGTTGCATCCGGAGCTCAGAGCTGGGCGGCGGCAGGCGGGGAACCTTGGCTTCCTCCCTCACTGGAGCAAGCAAACCTCCTGTTCGCTTCAGCTGCCTGGATGCCGGCCGCCATCTTTGTTGGCAGTTAATTTGCATATCTTGCTGATATCCAATGGGAAGGGTAGCGAAGTTATGGTTAATTAACCATGTTTCTCTATTATTAGATAGGATTATATTTATTGCTTTCAGAGAGGAAGAGAGAGATAGAAACATCAGTGATGAGAATCATTGATTGGCTCCCTCCTGTACGCCCCACACTGGGGATCGAGCCAGCAACCTGGGCATGTGCTCTGACCAGGAATTGAACTGTGATGTACTGGTTCATAGGTCGATGTTAAACCACTGAGCCATGCCGGCCGAGCCATTGGTTGCTTCTTGTATGTGCCCTCACTGAAGATTGAACCTGCAACCTTGGCATATCGGGACAACACTCTAACCAACTGAACTACCTGGCCAGGGCTATGTAGATTTTTAAACATTTGTTTCTCACATAAGTTTGTTTGTCTGTGTGTTTAGTATATACTGCTAACACATTTACATTTTACTTAATGTATTTGTGTTCCTATTTGTGTTTATTTTAACTTATATAGAATACCACTGGTATTATATGTTATAAATACGTGCACATTCATTTGCATTTATATTAATTAATGTTTGTATATCTGCTGCTATTTATATACCTTTAATATTCTTGCTACTGAGGGTTAGTTGGGGTAGGGCCTGGCCAAGCAGATCCACGCTACCTTCTGTGTTCCACCAGCCCTGCAGGCCTGTCCACCTCTCAGGGGAGAGTTGTGTGGGTGGAGTGGCAATGGCTTCACCTGTGTACCAATCACTTCTGGCCCACCTCCAGCCCCACAGGAGACAGGATCCGAAGCAAAGTTGAGCTGATTCGATACCTGGGTCCTTCGTGCGACCTCACCCTCTTCGACTTCAAACAAGGCATCCTGTGCTATCCAGCCCCTAAGGTGCTACACAGTGTGGGTACCCAGATGCAAGGGGGGCTGAGCCACCTAAAACCCACCCACTGACCTACATTCTTCCTGCCCTTGCTCCTACTTCCAGGCCCAATCCTTGGCTCTCCCCAGCAGGAAGCGGAAGAAGCCTTCGAAGCCTGTTAAAGCTCGAAAATGTCAGGTTGGATCCAAGAGGGTTGAGGTCAGAAAGGAGGCCCCAGGGGCTAAAACCAAGGCTGATGCTGACACGGCCCCAGCTTCGCTCCCTGCACCTGGGTGAGTGTTGGCCTAAAGTGAGCCCAGTGGGTGAAGGTTGTGGTTGGGAGTATATACTCAGGGCCCCACACTCATGTTTCCCATCCCAGGCACTGTGAGAACTGTGGAATCAGCTTCTCAGGGGATGGTACCGGAAGGCAGCGGCTCAAGACATTGTGCAAGGACTGCAGAGGTGAGTGGCCCCTAGGACACGGGGAGATAGGAGCCGGAATAGTTCTGGTGACAGTCTAGGACACCAGTGTCAGGCTGGACATTGAATGGTGAATGTCAGGGCAAAGGCATTGGATGAGGTCAGATATCTAATGCTCCCTTTCCTCATCTCTTACCTTCCTCCCCCTGCTTCCCCCCCCTCCCCAGCGCAGAGAATTGCTTTCAACCGGGAGCAGAGGATGTTTAAGGTAAGCGTGACCTACTCCTCCTCACAAGTGAGTGGTGGGAGCAAGATGTAATGGGAGGTAGGGGAGGGTCTGAAGGAATGGTGATGGATCCATGTGGTGTTAGTTATTTCGTAGGGAGCTAGCTGCAGTCAGCAGACTGTAATGGGTGTTAATAGGATATTGGTAGATGAGGTTAATGGGAATGGTAGACATTGTGATGGCCTCAATGATGTTGGCTAATCAGTAATTATCAGGTACAGTGATGAAGCACATGGGGGACTAGCAGACATGGCGATGGGAGCTAACGTAGGGTCAGCAGACTCTTGAGGGGCAGTGCTCCTGGAGTCACTCTGCTTAAGTCTGTGACCTTGCCCCACCGATTCCTTGCAGCGTGTGGGCTGCGGAGAGTGTGCAGCCTGCCGGGTAACGGAGGACTGCGGGGCCTGTTCCACCTGCCTCCTGCAGCTGCCCCATGATGTGGCCTCAGGGCTGTTCTGCAAGTGTGAGCGGAGACGGTGCCTCAGGATTGTGGAAAAGGTGGGTTGGGCAGGTGGGGTGGGCCCAAGGCTAACCCTAGCCCCTGGCCCTCCTAGCCCTAGCCCCTTGCATCATGCCTCTGGCCCCCCAACAGAGCCGAGGGTGTGGAGTATGCCGGGGCTGCCAGACCCGAGAGGACTGTGGCCGTTGCCGAGTCTGCCTTCGCCCTCCCCGCCCTGGTCTCAGGCGCCAGTGGAGGTGCATCCAGCGGCGCTGTCTACGAGTGAGTCAGGCTGGAGGGACTGGTGCTGGTGGGGCCAGGGCTGGGGCAGAGCTCATTCTGCTATTAAACTTGCTGCTGCTTCCTCCCAACCTGGCCTTGCCCACCTCATGTCTTCTTTTCTCCTTTCCCTACTCTCACCTTCCTGGCTCTACCTACCTGCCCCTGTCTGCCAGCATCTTGCTCATCGCCTGCGTCGCCACCATCAGCGATGTCAACGACGCCCTCCCCTAGCTGTGGCTCCCCCTGCTGTGAGTGCCCCATCCCACACTGCCTGTCTGTCCCATGCATGCTTTCTGCATTCCTTGGGGGGGGGAGGGTCCTGTGTCTGCCTGGTGCCACCGTGCCTAAACTGATGTACTTTTTTGGCTTTCTCCTAGGGTAAGCGTAGCCGCCGCAGGGGAGGCTGCGACTCCAAGATGGCTGCCCGGCGGCGTCCTAGAACCCAGCCACTACCTCCGCCTCCTCCACCTCAGCCTCCAGAGTCCCCAGAGCTGGTGAGGCGCTAGAGGGTGGGGGAAGGCACAACCCTAATCTCACCCAGTACCTAACATGACCCCACCCCATTTGCCTCTGCAGCACCCCAGAGCCCTGGGCCCCTCATCACCTGCTGAGTTCATCTATTACTGTGTAGACGAGGACGAGCTAGTGAGTGGCCCCATCTTACCTGGACAAGTCTAGACTCTCCTAAGGCACTTGGTTAAGCCCAAAGACGCACATGCTGCAATGGGCCTAATAGGGGGAGAGCAAGGCAGAGTAATGGGTACCAGTATGGGATAAGCAGACAATGGGGAGAGACTACTATGGGATCAACAGGTGCAGTGATAGTACCTAATGTCAGATGAAGTAACATTCTGGTGGGGCTAAAAGAGAAAAAGCTGCCACAATGACCAGAGTTCACATAGGGTCAGTAGACGTAGCAGGTGTGGTAGGTGCTAATCGAGGGTCAGCAGAATCCTACTGGAGGTGGGGAGGTCAGAGACCTTGTCTTGGTAGCTAGTGGGGACTGGCAGATAGAGTAATGGATGCTGTGTTGGAGTAGTCACAGTGCTAATCGTAACGAGAGGTTTTTTGGTACAGTGATAGTGCCTGGTGGTGTGACTAGCAGATGCTGACATGTGACTAGTGGGAGTCAGGCTAAGACTACTGTGCATCCAGTTCCCTCCCATGGGGCTAGTGGAGGAGCAACAGGAACAGTACTGTACTAGTCTTAACAACAGTACCCCTGTCTCCCCTGTCCCCCAGCAACCTTACACAAACCGCCGGCAGAACCGCAAGTGTGGGGCCTGTGCAGCCTGCCTGCGACGGATGGACTGTGGCCACTGTGACTTCTGCTTCGACAAGCCCAAATTCGGGGGCAGTAACCAGAAGCGCCAGAAGTGTCGTTGGCGCCAATGCCTGCAGTTTGCCATGGTGGGTGGGGCAGGAAGGGTCAGGTGGGCACGATAGGTTAGGCCGGGTCCCCCAGTGCCTGGGAATGGTGGACTGACCTGGTATGTGGGGTGGGACAGGCCAGATGGGTCTTGCAACTTCAGAGGGGTGAGTGGGGCAGTGGGTTTGGTCAAGGATTAGTAGACATCGAGCCGATATAAATGAGAAATTTGGGTGGCATTGGCACTGGTAACAGGAGACAAGCAGGCTCAGTGATAAGGGGCTCACATATAAGCAGATTTTCTGCTGGTACTAATAGGGGGATCCGCAGGCTTGTTGGTCAGGGCAGGGTAGTGTGGTCAGGTCACTATAGGTGGCCATAACACCCAACCTCTTCTCACAGAAGCGCCTGCTGCCAAGTGTCTGGTCAGGGTCTGAGGATGGGGCAGTGTCACCCCCACCTTACCCTCGTCGAAAGAGGCCTGGATCTACTCGACGGCCCCGTGTGGGCCATACCTTGAAGACACCCTCGGGCACGCCCACAGCCCGACCAAACCAAGCCCAGACTCCAGTGAAACAGGAAGCAGGCAATGGCTTTGTGTTGCCCCCGCCTGGCACTGACCTTGTGTTCTTACGGGAGGGTGCAAGCAGTCCCGTGCAGGTACCTGGCCCTGCCCCAGCTTCCACAGAACCCCTGTTGCAGGTGAGGGCCCCACCTCATCCTGCCCTTCCCAACCCTATCCAGCCTTGTTCCGGGAAGCTGGGACCAAGTCTGCTGCAATCCTCCTTCACACAGGGGGCCCAGTGCCCTGGCCTGAGTTGGGTTGTGGTCTTACCCCAGGTGAAGCAAGAGAAGGTGGATGCTCAGGAAGACTGGACACCAGGCAGAGCCATCCTGACCTCTCCCGTATTGCTGCGAGGCTGCCCCAGCAAGGTGGGGCTCAGTGATGGGTGATCTGTGAGCAGAGTGATGGTGAGCCGTGATGGTGGTTCTTTGAGCAGAGCAATGGGTGTGCTGATTGCAGCCTTTCCACAGAATTACTCTGCCTTCCCCAGGCTCTGCCTGCTTTGCTGCCCAGCTAATAGAAAAAAATGGAAATCTGTGGGGAATGGAAAAAATTTTTTAGACAGATGGTTTTTCTGTGCGGAAGTGTGATAGAAGTGGGGTTTATGAGCACAGTGACAGGTTGGCCAATAAGAGACTCTTTCCTTAGGCCAACCTTGCTTTTCTGACTGTTGCCTATTTCCCACCTCTCCCAGGCAGTAGACTCAGGCCTGCCACGTGTGAAGCAAGAGCCACCTGACCCTGAGGAGGACAAAGAGAAGAGCAAGGATGACTCAGCCTCTGATTCGGCCCCAGAGGAGGCAGGAGGGGCTGGCACGCCAGTGGTCAGTGCTCGGGGACACCGCACCCTGCCCTGACCTAGTTTTAACCCAACCAGCCATGTTGACCCATGATGTTAATTCTTCCCCAGATCACGGAGATTTTCAGCCTGGGTGGAACCCGTCTTCGGGACACAGCAGTCTGGTTGCCAAGGTGTGCCCCGTATAGTGAGGGGTGGGGATGGGGTGGGTTCCGGTCAGATGTGGGCCTTGAGTATTTTGGCATGGTGCAGTAGGAGGTAAAGGCCCCACACTGTGTTGATCATGATCAGTGAGGAGGTATGTGTAGACCCCTAGAGATTTCCTGAGGTCCAGGTCAGGGCTTATCTTGGGGGGGTGGGGGGTGTCAAGGGAGAGGACTTGGTGTCCTGTGATGAGATTAGAAAGAAAAAAGGAAAGAAAGCCTGGTCCCTAAGAAAAAACCAGCAGGAGTCAGACTTTAAATTTGTACTCAGAGAATCATCATTTGGGGCCTTCAATACCTTTAGAGTCTCCAAGAGATGACCAGGTGGCTGGACAGTGGTGGATGAGTAGGAGATCTGGGTTGACACACAAGTGTGTGATCTTGGACTAGTCCTGTACCTCCTGGAGCATCCTCTGTGGAGGGGGTTAGGCTATGTTTCTTGAGCCTTTCCTGGGCCTGTTGAGGTTATTAACAGTTTCATCTGCTGTGCAGAACTGTCCCTGCACGCCTGGCAACAGGATGAAGGCTAAGTGCCTATAAGGACTGGGATAGTGAGAGGACGGGGAGTGCTGCTTCCTGCAGAATGTTGACAGGCCCCACACAGAGCCCCAGACATAGACAACATAAACCATTGACCTCAGTACCTGGGTTCTTTTGTTCCTACAAACTAGTTTCTGCAGGCCAGAAGTCCCTCCATCTGCACTTGGGCAATTACAGAACTACTGATTTAAGTCCCTGCTGGATACACTGCAGTGTGGGTGAGAATAGCAGTGAATACAATGACCATGGAAGGCTTGTCTTTCAGGAGTATTCCTGCCTTCAGGGAGCTTATAATCTAACTGGGGAAACGGTTTCCCTATGCATGAAATCATTACATATCACAAAGAAGGGAGTGATGTGCTGTTTGTAATGGAAGATTTTAGAAGAGAGAGAAGAAATAAGGGGAAGAAGAGTAGGAAATGGTTTTGTGATGCTCCATTTTGTACATAGCAAACATTCAACATACAGACCTGCTCCCTCTTCTCTAGGTCCAAGGACCTTAAAAAACCTGGAACTAGAAAGCAGTAGACTGGAGGCTTCTGCAGACTGTAGGATTCAAGGTGAAATTTACACACCGGCTTTATGAGAGACAACACTGACCTACTCAGAGGCTGGACCGTAAAGCGATTGCCAGGGCTTGTGTAGGAATCAGTGGGAACTGGAAACACCACCAAACCAGAGGAGCAGGCCTGTTCAGTCCTTTGAGCTTATAGAGGAAGTAAGGAAGAAAGGAAGAGAAAGTAGAAAGTTGGTGCATCTGCTCTAAATGGTGCAAATCCCAGAAGCCTGAACATGACAAGAAGTTTGACTGTTAGGGGTGGAGGAGCTGGTGTTGGAGCTGGGGGATAGAATTAGAGCCACCATAAACAAGCTAAACCAGCCCTCTTCATAACTATTAAATGGCTTCTGGGTGAGACCTGGCAGTGTCTCTAAACATTTCCTCAGGGAGACAGCAATTGAAAATGTAATGTGAATAAATAAGGAAAGGAACTGCAATCTGGTGAGTTCTTCCTTATGGACCCATTTATTTCTCAGAATGGTCTTTTCAGGAAGACTGATTGTGCCCATTTTTGCAGATGGAAAAACAGACTCCGAAATCAAATAACTTGTCCAATGTCAAACAGCTAGTATTGATAGAGTCTAGAATTAAACCATTAATTAATGTAAAAGCCTTGTTCTTTAAGCCACTAACCCATAAACTGTAATCCTGAGTTCAGTAATGTGTAATAATATAGTAACAAGTTTCCAGCAACTCCAAAAACAGGGTGGATTAATTTTAAGCATAACAAATCCTTTACACTGCTGTCTCTAGCATGGTCTAGGGGTGCCAAGGCTGTGTGCTTGGGTCACCTTGTTAGAGCACCTGTGCATCCAGAGACTGGGTTCTTTCCAGGTCTCTGGGGTTGCGTAAGATTCCTCAAACCCTAAGGGTATCCTTCCACACTGGCTGCTGTCCATTTTGCGTTTCCCTCCCTCTTCCTCTTCAGCCAAAGCAGTCTTCCAAGTAGAACTGTCAGCTTGGCTCATCTTTCTTGACTACTTGTGTCCCCTGCCCCTTGACATTCATGCTTGGTTTCTGCTTTCAGCCCGTCTACTAGGAGTATGAGTTTCTGCTTCAAGTCCTGTCAAAGGGCCAGTCTTGGCTCAGCCTGCCTCACTGTCCAATATTTTTCATAGTGCTAGAAGTGACGAGACATGAGATCATTACTTAGCCAGCTTTACAAGGTCAGGACTGAGTGTGTGCCCCTTAAATTTTGTAGCTTTTGTGCATCCCTTGCCTTACTCTAGTTCCAGCCTTGCAGCTTTAATAATTCAGATGTAGATTAGCTATTTCCCTACTGTAACTCATGATACAGCTCTCTGCCACCCTCTTCTGCTCCTTTCTTTGCCTGTCCCACCTACTTCAGCCAGAGTTGACTGGATAATTTTCTGCTATTGTTTTGCTCCTCCCAGGATCCAACCACCCAACCCTAGTATTCTGCTAATTTTGACAATGATGTCCTATGTGAAATTGATTTGATTGGTATTCTGACTGATGAAATAAGAATCTGGTTATCATGTGTATCAGGGTACAATTAGAAAAGCAGCACCACTGACATAAAGATTTTATATATATGTATGTATGTATATTTATATATATGTATATATGTATATATATATATGTATATTAAGGGATTTATAGGTATTTGACCATACGCAATTGTGGGAGCAGGTTAAACAGTCTCTGTAAGGCTGTTGTCTTTGCATCTAATGCTGGAGCTTGAAGTCTGCAGGGCAGGCATTCGGGAAGGGAAGATGGATGTAAATGTGGGAGACCGAGGACACATTGGCGCCCACAAGCACAAGCTGGACCCCCCTTGCAGATGGCCTGGAACCCATGTCACTCACCACCTCCAACTTCGATGACGTGGGTGTCCTGCAGAAGAAACTGGTGCCCTTCACCACAGAGTTAAATATGCATCTGGCCTAGGAATTTGAGAAGCTGGAGGAGGATCCTGGAGAGGTGGAGCAGCCTCAGACCTGTTACTTCACACCTAGGAGGCAGCCAGCAGATAAATGACAACGTGTGAACTGCAACAGTGCCTGGTGCTCCTGCACCAACTTTCAAAGATTAAAAACAACATGCTACTGTTTCACTTCTCCCTGCAGTTAGCACATAAAATGTTTCTTGTGGCCCATTCTAACCGGAAGCGTATGGGGAAGGGAGTTCTGGGAAACCTAGGCTAGTCAACGTGACGCATCACTAAGCCACCCTGTCATGAATCCGCTCCAAAGGGTCTCACTACTTACCTGAGGATAACTCCATAAAGCTACATTGCTGGAAATGCAAAGTGGAAGGAAGACCATGGATTTCATGGTGACCCAGCAATACAGAAATTCCGTCAAACCCACCCAGTAGAAATGTGGGTCTCAGCTCTTTGTCACTATTGAGAACTTAGTACTGGGGTACAGGGATGAAAACGATATAGTCCATGCAATTTTATTAAATACATCAATATGTATTGCAAATGGTGAATGGATTTACAACTTTCATGAAATTTGTAGAATTCAGAAAACTATCAAGAGGATAGCCCTTGTATGAACCTTGTTGGGGCCCAATAGGAATTGGAAATAATATAGTTTTTGTCTCTAATCTGTTCTATTTTAAAATTATTTTTAAATGACTTTTGTTGTCCTATTTACTGATTCATATATTTAGTGTATCTTCTGGGAATGTCATGGTGATGGTAACAGCGTTGACTGCCTCTGAGAAAGTGGGATAGTGGGTGGCAAGATAAAGGTCAGGTTCTGACCAAGGACCTTGGGCAAGTAACTTCTATTAGGCCTCCATGAGGGTTTGGCTGAATGCCCAGGCTCACCGCGTCAAGCCCGGCTCCTCCACCCTCGGAATAGGCCCACCTGGGCGTGGGACCGCAGTCATCCCACCTGGGCCCCAAGAACTCTGCCCCTCACCCCTGCAGGACCTGGCGGACCAGGGGTGTGGCCTCCACCCGGATAAGGGAAATTGATTCAAATTGTGGTAAAACAGGCAAAACCGAACTGGAGTTAAATTACGGGGCTTGCCTATGATGAGGGTGCGGCACGACAAGCTCAGGACCAACGCTTGGGACGTTCCAGGGCGGCCGGGTGTCACCCAGGGGTAGCTTCCCCCTGTCACCAAAACTCAGACGGGATCCTCCGGGCTCTATGACCTCGGGGTGCCTGAGGCACCCCCAAATCTCAGCTGCTTTTCCCAAACGTCCCTGCCTGGCTGAGGGTGTTTTCATTCCCTCCCAAGGATTTGGTGTCCGGAGACCAGCTGGTGACCAGGCACCCGTGGGACTGAAAGGTCAAAGAACTAGCTGGCCCTCAGGACTCGGTCCAGGGATCCGAGACGACCATCTAACTTCTTTCTTTCTCTGTTTGTTTCAGGCTACGTAAACTCTTAGCAGTAAATGAAAATGAGTATTTTACTGAACTACAATTGAAAGAAGAAGCAGTATAGGAAAAAATTATTTTAAAAGATTATTAAAAAAGAAGAAACATTATTTTGTGGCTGAAAAGCTGAACCAGCAATTCAGGAAATGGAATCTAAATCTAGAAACGTACCATATACAAAATCCGAAGGGGGTGGATTACAAGTGATTAAGGAATGTTAATTTACAGTAAATTGAAGCCTTGAAATGGTATGCACAATAATTGTGCTCTGGTTATTGTTACATGACAGTGACTGGCTAGGTACTGATTTTTTTCTGTAATCTATATATTCTAGTGTTCTGTGTCCACCCCACTTTAGAGTGAG